AAGAAAAGACAAAAATTGTATGATTATATCAAGAGATGCAAAAAAAGCATTTGACAAGATACAACATCCATTTATGATTAAAACACTTAAAATGGGTATAGAAGGAAAATAGTTTAACATAATAAAGGCCATATATGACAGACTCTCAGCTAATATCATCATTAACGGTGAAAAACTGAAGCCCTTCACTTTATGTTCAGGAACAAGACAGGGCTATCCCCTATCACCACTGTTATTCAACATACTATTGGAAGTCCTAGCCAGAGCAATCAGACAAGAAACACAAATAAAAGACATCCAAATTAGGAGTAAATTTCATTTTCTAAAAAGCACTTTTAGTATTTCTTTAATAATTTGGAAAAACAGGTACAAACGACCTCTTCAAACAACACTGGCCATCCGGTATTTACATTTTTGTCTCCAATTATAAAATCTACTGAGGCATATGTACTACCTCATCATCTATAAGTAGTAACTAAGCAATATTTATTGATTTTAAAGATATACTGTATTTCTTGAAATCCAAGATGCCATGGGTGGTACAAAATACAATTATTTTTCTTTTACGTGAAAAAATATATATAATGTACAGAAAACTTGAATGAGTGAACACCTATATACTATTTTCTATACATATGTATATATGTATGTTCGAGTACACATGTATATAGACAAACACACATAAGCATAAGTATTTTGTCATGTGCCGTTTGATAGTTAAATGCAAACATCTAATACTCTTAGTACTTTTCCGTGGATCCCCTAAGTAAAAGGACATTCCTTTGAATACCCACAATACAGTTATGATGCCCATAAAATTTATTGTAACATGATATAATTACACTCCATAGTCAGATTTCCTTATCAGAGCCATACTGTCCTTTAATTGCTGTTTTGTTTCTCTTGGTTCTAGATCCAATTAAGATAAGGAACTAATCAATTGAATCATAATGCATTTAGTTAATGTGTTTTTTGTACTGCCTGAAACTTAGAAAAGTTTTGGGGTTTTATAAAACATATGTATTCTTTTATTTATTTATAACTAAAATAAATTTTTCCGGTAAAAATAATTAGTTCAGTACTCAGCTTGCACCACCCTTATTTGGCATGTTTATCAGTTTGACATGTTGCCCTTTGTATTTCAGCGTGTCCTTGTTTTCTGTCACTGTGAGATGTTCCAGATCATTTTGTAGTTTCCGGCTGCCTGCCTGACACCTGTCCATTGTCCAAAAACTCCCATACTTTTTATTAAAAAATGACATTTAGAAATCCAGAAGTGGGCATTAGGAACACATTATTTTATTCTATATACTACTTTGATAGAAAAAATGCCTAAGAAATTAAAAACACTGTTGTTAAACTATGATACACCACTTGTTATAAGAGCATCCCAACTTTAGAGACTGTAAAATATGAAAAACTGTGAATTTTATAAAATAAATGAAATTAAATATATTTTTGGCTTGGAATGAGAAAGCTCTATGTTTGAGATTTGTTTAAAACTAATTTGACACTTAAAGGATCACTTTTCTCTTGACAGGTTGGAGTCACATTTAGTGAGCCTGTTGCAAAAACAGCAGAACTTTCTGAGTCTAGTAGTATTTCAGAACCAATTACAAATAGTTCAGGTGAGTAAAATTTTCTCATAATCTTTTGCATAAAAATAGTTGCATATATTAGACTAGCATTTCAAGTTTTTTTCACATTGGGCAATACACATAAATGCCTTTATTTGAATGAAATTAGCTCAGAAAAGCAAACAGGAATGAGTACCAACTTTATGACAGTGTGTTTTAGTGATTATCCTCAGAGATACTTAGCATCCTAAATGTTAATATTACAGTTCAGTTGTGAGAGGGATAGTGGTAACAGCAGATTCATCCATTGTCTTTGAATAGCCAAAATAAAATGACGGTTTATTATAAATAAAATCTGATTATAGGAAACTCAGGGGTTGCCTACCTGGTAATTGTACTGGATTCCATTTATATTTTACTGTTCAGTTCACAAGCGTTTTTATGTGTCAGGGTTATGCTGGCCTCTGCAAAGAGGCCTCTGTTCTTAATTCTGAATTCAAGAAATGGGCATAATTGAGGGAACTAAATGAATAATCAGGTAATTAAATAATAGGATTTTTTATGGTAATGGTGGTTTTCTTTCAAGTGTATGGTGTTTAGGAAATGAAAAATCATCTGCAGTTAGTAACTCATGACAAGAATTTTCGAGCATTTTACCCAACAAATAATAGCGAATGCAAGGGTAAATTAACAAGAGAAAAAGCATGACATAGTTCAAAAATTGCAAATAGTTTGTCATGAGGTTGAAAGGTAGCTTTAAATTCTAAAAATTCCTGAATGCTATGCTGAACAATTGGATTTTAACCTGAATGTAGTAGTAAGACATTGAGTGATTTTTATGGGGGTGAGGTACCTGGAGTAACAGAATATGTTGAGTGAGGGAGTGGGTATTACAGACTGAGACATCAGGTAGTTTTGTGTGCCCCATCCAGAAGGGTTTTATTTGACTATATGTTTTAAAACAAATCAAAGAACCAGGACATAGAAGCGAGGAAGGTGTTTGGCTTTGGATGCTATGGAAGGTCATAAGAGCATAGATTGCGGGAGTGGCACAAAGTGAGAATTGATTGGTGTGTTTGCAATCCTATTTTTCTTTGAATCCAACAGCCGTTTAAGAGAAAGTAACAAGCACATTTCAGGTGTAATTCTTTCCACAAGATTTTTTTCTTTAATGTTACTATGAATTCAAGAGGAATGAACCTATTCAATTACCATTTTCATGCCTGGTTATGAGAAAAGATATTAAAATCATTCTCAATTTTTAAAAATGTTTTACTAATGGTAATGGAATGAATAACAATTTATTGAAACAAATTTTGTGTTTCATTATTCTGGGGGAATTCCCAGATTTTTAAGGAGTTCATTAAGTAAGAGAGGCACATTCAAATGGTGATAATTGTTTATTCTCTTTGTCAGCACCTGATTGTCACCACTTCTATCATTAAGAAGCTGATTGAAAATGTAGAGTCATGATTAACTACTTTGTGACAGAGGCTAAATTTTCCATTATCTTCTTTTTCCATCATATTGAGTACACTTCAGGGAATCCTTAAATTACTAAAAGCAATTTAATTTTTATTATAAAGGAAGATAGAATATGGTAAAGTGATAAAAACATCAGTTCTTTTTTCACATTGTTATAAGAGGTGAATTTGGTGTTTTCCACATTTTTGTTGTTGAGGTAAAATTGACATAAGATACAATTAATCATTTTAAAGAGCCAATTCATTGTGGTTAAGTATATTCTCAATGTTGTGCAACAACGATCTCTGTCTACTCCCAAACCTTTTTAACTCCCAGAGGAAACCTGTATCCATTACACACTTGCTTTCCATTTCCCCTTCCCCTCAACTTCTGTCAAATACCCATCTGTGTTTGGTTTCTGTGTATTTGCCTATTGTGGTGTCATACAGTGTCACTTTTTGCTTGTGATTCACTCAAGTTGTGTTATGGATGAGTCCATTTCGTTTATGACTGAATGATATTCCATTGTATGGATATAGTAAAACTCTTCTGTGTATCCATTGATGGACATTTGTGCTGTTTCCCCCTTTGGGCTGTTGTAGACAGTGCTGCTGTAAATAAGCTTGTACGTGTATTTGTTTGAATACTGGTCCCAGTACTTTGGGTATATATCTGGGAATGGACTTGATGGGTCAGATGGTAGTTATATGTGTAACTTTCGGAGGCACCACAAAAATGGTTTTCTCAGCAGCTAGCTCATTTTATATTCCTCTAGGAATATATGTGGGTTCTAATTTCTTTACCTTCTTACCACATTTATTATTTTTCTTTTCTCACTATAACTGTTCTAGTGGTTGTGAAGTGATGCTTCATTGTGGTTTTTATTTGCATTTCCCTAGTGATCAGTGGTGAGCCCCTTTCCATGTGCTTGTTGGCTGTTTATCTTCTTTATCAGATGTATGATTTGTAAATGATTTCTCTAATACAATGGGTTGTCTTGATAATGTCTTCATACTTTCTCGATAACTTCCTTACATTCACAATATTTTTAATTTTAGTAAAGTTTCAAATTTTGTTTTGCTTTTTCTTTTGGTGTCAAATCTAAGAATCTATATTCAAAATCCATTGTCATGAAAATATGCCTCCTAAGTTTTCTTCTAACAGTGTTACTGTTTAGTCCTTATATTTAGATCAATTATCTATTTTCAGTTAATTTTTTTTCATGGTGTGAGGTGTAGGGTAGGCAGGATTTTTTTTGAAACTGTTTTTTAATTGGCATCACTTCAGAAGAAAAATCTGGTTATTTATATTTTATTATAGAAAATTTCAAACATTCTCAGAAGTGTAACAATAGACTGAATCCCTAATTCTCTTTTCTCAGCTTCAACATTTACCACTTTGTGACCAGTCTTGTCCCTCCTTCTCTCCCTCCCTTTCTTCCTTCTTCCCTTTTCACACATACAGACACACCTGTGAGGTTATTTTGAAACAATCCCACGCATTTTAAATCTGTAAACAGAAACTCCCCCTTTAAAAATATGACAACCAAGCCATTATCATCCTGAAAGTATAGATTTCTTCCTTCAAGTAAAGGAATATGTTGGTTTTGGAAAGTTTGGAAAATATTGAAAAATAAAAACAATAAATAAAAACCACTCATCAGCAGCTATTATTACTCTTTAGATAAAAACATTCAAAATCTTCTATACTTTTTAACCTGCTTTTACCCATATCTGTGGTTTTTTTATTATTAGTTTCAGATGCATAAAATAACATAATATTACACACCTAAAAAAGTGATAACCCCAACTAGTCTACTACCCATCTGACATCATACATAGCTATGACAATATCATTGACTATATTCCCTATGCTGTACTTTACATCTTGTGACTAAATATATATTTTAATTGCAGTTGACATTCAATATCATTTTCTATTAATTACAGGGCTACAGCACAATGGTTAGACATTTATGTAACTTAGGAAGATATTCCACCAATAAGTCTAATACCTATCTGACACCATATATAGTTTTTACATTATTGACTATATTCCCCATATTTCACATCCCCATGACTACTTTGTGACTACCCATTTGTACTTCCTAATACCTTCACCTTTCTCATCCATCTTCCCAACCAGCAACCTTCAGTTTATTCTCTATATCTATGAGTCTGTTTCTGTTTTATTTACTTGTTTATTCTGTTCTTTAGATTCCACATATAAGTGAGATCATATGGTAATTGTCTTTCTCAGTCTGACTTATTTTGCTTAGCATAACTAGGACCATCCATGTTGTTGCAAATGGTAAGATTTCATTCTTTTTTACAGCAGAGTAATACTACATTGTATGAATGTACCACAGTTTCTTTATCCAGTCATGTTTTGATGGGCACTTCGGTTGTTTCCATATCTTGCAGTAAGCATAGGGGTGCATATATTTTTTTGAATTATTTTTTCGGGTTTCTTTGGATAAATATCCAGAAGTGGAATTTCTGAGTCAAAGGTAGCTCTATTTTTAATTTTTTGAGGAACCTCCATACTGTTTTACATAATGGCTGCACCAAATTGCAATCCCTCCCACAGTGCGGGAGGGTTCTCTTTCCTCCATATTCCTTCCCAATACTTGTTGTTTGTTGACTTATTGATGATAGCCATTCTGGCAGGAGTGAGGTGATCTCAGTGTGGTTTTTATTTGCATTTCCCTGATGATTGGTGACATTGAGCATCTTTTCATGTGTCTATTGGCCATTTGTATGTCCTCTTTGAAGAAATATCTCTTCATCTCTTTGGCCCATTTTTTAATTGGATTGTTTGTGTTTTTGGTATTGAATTGTATGAAATTTTCATAAATTTTGGATATTACCCTTTATCAGATATATCATTGCCAAAATCATCTTCCATTCAGTAGGATAGCTTTTTTTTTATGTATACACATGTAAATGTGTTTCTTTCTTTTTCTTTTTATTAGTGTAGAAAATAATGTAACATTTACACACCTTACTGATTGATAACACACCACCCCCATCTGCTACACTTCTGACATTGTATATAGTTGTTAAATACCATTGACTATGTTTCATAAGCTGTATTTTATATCCCGTGACCATATACATGTATATAATTTTGTTTTGTTGATGGTTACCTTTGCTGTGTAAAACTTTCCATAGATGTAGTCCCATTCATTTATTATTTTTCTTTTGTTTCCTTTGCCTGAGGGGATATATCAGCAAAAATATTACTGAGGATAATGTCTACAAGTTTACATCCTATATTTTCTTCTAGGAGTTTTATGGTTTCGGGTTTTACATTTAAGTCTTTAATCCATTTTGAGTTTATTCTTGTATATGGTATAAGATGGTGATCCATTTTCATTTTTTTGCATGTATCTGTCCAGATGTCCCAGCACCATTTATCAGCACCATTTATTGAATAGACTGTTTTACCCCAATGTAAATACTTGCTTCCTTTGTCATAGATTAAATGACCTTACAGGCATGGATTTATTTCTGACCTCTATTCTGTTCCATTGATCTATGTGTCTTTTTTTATGCCAGAACCATGCTGTTTTGATTACTGTGGCC